CAGTCTTGCTAAACACTTCCTGTAAAGAGAGATCGAATATTTACATTTCCTTTATTGCTCAGTCTGCTTAATTTAGAATTTATCTCCTGCTCTGTTAATAACTTTCTAGACCATGTAGGAGCTCACTGTGTGATTAAAGTTCGGCTTACAGAGCAGGAGATTACAACTTCTAAAGTAAGTTAACATCTAATTTTTAAAAAATGTGAAACCTATTTTAGTGCAGGCTGTGTCTGTCAATGAAGGTGTGACTAGGGCTACATGGACAAAAACAAACATGATTTAAATAAAGTGTCCCTATGACTTAAAGGTATTCTCCAGTGCCAGGAAAACAAACCTGTTTTCCTGGCACTGTCGAATCCTGGAGTGCCCCCCTCCCTCCAGCCCCCCATCCCATGTCGCTGAAGGGGTTAAAACCCCTTCAGACACTTACCTGAATCCAGCACCGATGTCCCTCAGCGCTGGTTCAGGCTCCGCCCATGCTCCTCTAATGCGAATGCAAGGCCATTGCCGTGTATGCACATTAGGTCTTTCCTGCCGGCAGACCTTGGTGGGGAAGACCTAATGTGTATGCGCAGTAATGGCCTTGCGGGTGCATTAGACCTCCCCATAGGAAAACGTTATTCAATTCCTATGGGGATTCCTGCGACGCTGGAGGTCCTCATGCATAGCGTGAGGACATCCAGCGTCGTTTAGGCGACCAAAAGTTGTTTAAGAAGCCAGAAGGTAGACAGCCACTAGAGGAGGACTTAACCCTGCACGGTAATTATTGCAGTTTATAAAAATTGCAATAATTACACCTGCAGGGTTAAGGGTGATGGGTGTTGGCACCCAGACCACTTCAATGGTCTGAAGTTGTTTGGGTGCCTACAGTGTCCCTTTAAGGTTATGCTTAGATATGTGCAAGTTTAAAGGGTAGGATAACAACTGAAACCACCTCTCGCTTGCTAATCGGTTATGCAGAGAACGGTAATTGTTCTTACCATTGCTGGCGCACAGTGAGGAGTCAGAGTGCAGGCCGAGGGAACTCAGTGGCTGAGCTCTGTCATTTGTAAATGCTCAGATTGCAAAGGAGCACTTAAAGTGGTCAGCACCCTCACCAGATGCACACTGCATGCTCTCTGTCAACTGCTTTGTAATGAGGACACATGCTCCCCACCAGACCCAACCCTGCCTCTTGCCTGTGGCATTGTTAAACGAAAGAAATGCTTACCTAAAGCCCAGGAACTGCTTTGGGTGATTCTACACCAGTGAACCCTGGACAGAGTTTTAAATCCAGGGGTTATTCCTGGGCCTGCCTAGTCACTGCAGTAAAAGGAGGAGGTAGAGTATCTACAATTCTGCTCCATGAAGAACCATTGTTTTCTTCTTTTTTTTTTTTTCTTTCTTTCTTTAAACTTGATCAGTGTTTTAAGGACCCCTTGCTCTTAGTTTCACAAAGCAGAAGCTCTAGCTCTCCCCCTTTCAGCAGTCTGTGATTTACGTAACATCTGTTGTTAGACTGAGATTTCATCTATTTGATGAGATCACCACAGGAATACTAATGAATATTTTCTAGATAAAAATCAATTCATGCAAAACTACCAAACAGGATTGAAGTATAATTAAATTATCGATTTATTGTTGCAGTGATAGGTGTCAGGGATCATGCAAATGTCTCTTTGAACAGTCACTTTTATCCAAAATAGTAAAAAAAAAGAAGAGTACTTTGTTACAATTCTAGTGCAATCCCCATACAAATATATACTTCTATCTATCCATTAAAATCCTTCTTCCCCATTGTATTGCTTTAAGTGCGTGATCTAGTTCTGTACATCTTTATGTTCATGAATGTGATCTTATATAAAAGTACTAATATAAAGTGTATGTTGATATACTAAGCCTTTCCTATTGCTGCTAAATATTACTGTACTTGACAAAAACAAAAATGTCTAATTCTAAGCTTTCCTCTAAGTACCAGCTCCCTATGGTCTGTGCCACTCACAGGGGAGCTCCAGACCTCTCATCCTGTAAATCTATGTATGTCCATTGTGGAATGGAAGTCAGTTTGCTAATGTTTACCAATCATTGTTTAACCCATTGTTTTACAGGCTGGCGGCATAGCGGGTATGTGTGTTGACCTCATTTTATTTCCATTGGACACGGTCAAAACCAGACTGCAGAGTCCTCTTGGTTTTTACAAATCTGGAGGTTTTCGTGGTATCTATGCAGGAGTTCCTTCCACGGCTCTAGGATCATTTCCGAATGGTAATTAAGATTTATTTCTTGGTATGTTATGGTCTGGTTTTGTTATGAATATATTATTTTAAAAGGTTACTCCAACCACGATGGCCACTTTTAGAAGTGGCAATGGAGGTAGGAGTCTAGATGTGCTGCATCATAGGCTGAAATTTGAACTTGAGTGTCAGGGGCAAGTTGCACCCCAGGCACACATGACAGAATATTAATTCTGCGCAAAATCGACATCTATCATGAGTGTGCAAAGCGTACTGGCTTGCAGGCTCCTCTTACAGGCAGCCCCGGGAAGGGTTTCTCTCCCCATCTCCCTATACCATTAATGTTTGTTATTTGTTTGTTTGTATTCCTTCCCTCTCTCCCGCTCCAAGTTTTCCTTAACAGCTCAGAGTGTGCGCATGTGCTCTGAGTCTGTAAAAAAAAAAAAAAAAAAAAAATTTCCAATCAAGTGCTTTGCTATGGAAAGCATTTGATTGACCATTTTACTACTGTGGTGACAGGGAGAGCAGAGCAGAGCAGGAAGCTTCATCCAGCATTGGACTTTAGGTGAGTTATAGCTTAGTTTTATAACGGTTATTTAGAGTTTCGGAGGTGCAAATGGAATAGTGCCAAATAGGGTATTATAAATTAAAAAAAATATTTATATAAAAAGGGTTTTGTTTGAAAAGGAAAATCTTGAGTCCGTCTGCTTTTGATGACCGCAAAGTTGTTATTTTCGTGATAACATTTATTTTTTCTGCTAAAATGAAAATAAAATAAAACCCCTGTGAATTATTTTGTTTCAGCTTCAGCATTCTTTGTCACTTATGAAACGGTGAAAAGCCTTTTACACACTGATCCATCTTCGTATTTGTCACCAGTGAAGCACATGGTTGCAGCCTCTTTGGGAGAAGTGGTAAGCGGGATATTAAAATCCATTAATTTACTCACAACTAAGAGTCATGAATATACTTTTATTTTGTTTTTCACAAATAATAAATAAAAAATAAATTGGGCAAAATAATATGGCTATACTCTGGAACACACAGTCCTTCAACTCCATTAATTAATTCTATTCATCATTTAATTTCCATTTTCCAATCATTGCCTGGACTTCGGTTTGGTTCACGATGAAAAGTTAAGCGTCTATTATTTAATTTGTATTCAGTCTGATATTAATATTAGTAAAATAACAACACACATACATTCCAACAGGCCATGTGAGTTTTTAAGAGCATGATGTTTGTGATGCTGGCCACTACAGCTGCCAGTCTGCCAGTGCATGTGTGCCAGACTGACATGCCACCATTTATGGGCAACCCACGCTCTTTTTGCAGAAGTCTATTCATCTTATGGGCATGCTCTCCCCTCGTTGCTCTGCCCTGTCTGCATCCAGGCTTGCTAATGTTGGAAGATATGTAAAGATCAATATTCCCATGTTGCTTTAATGCATTTTACAGATAATGCATTCAAATATATAAAAAATATCATTTAAAGGAACACTCCGAGCACTCTAACCACTACAACATTCTGTAGTTGTTATCTTTCTAGAAGTGTCCTGCAACCTTCTATTGCAACTTATTTTAAGTTCCCTTTTAATAGTGGAAAAACAAACTGCATTTGCTACGCGACTACAGGGAATTACACAGGGGAGACCATGTTGCCTGAGATTTATTTTATCTGTAACTATGTTATTATGCAGAGGTACATTTATTCCCGTAATACCACCAGACAAGATAACATTGTGGTTTCATTACATAGAAAATAAAATTTAGGGCTCACATACTTTACATTAAAAGCCGAGATCTACAATAGGGGCCTAAAGAAAAGAGAAAACTGTTCTCTGATTTGAAGTAAAAAACACTATTTAGCCCCTCGCTTAATACAGTATGTGGAGAAAGTAACCTCACCACTGGTTCTTGGAGGGGCCTATTTGCCAGCCTCCTGCCTTTTACAAGGTCTTATGAGCCATGTAAAAAGGCTCATAAGACCTTGTTTGTGCCTTTTTGCTATCCTGTTCGACTTCCGAACAAACGCACGAGCCAGGAACCACCCGAGAGCTTGTTAACACCTATTAACACCTTGGAACGGTTCTCACCACAGTGTTCTAATTGTTTATCTGGGTGGCCGTAATTCCTATGGACAACCACGAGGTGACGGCCATCTTGTTCGCATGAACGCAGGCAGCGGTGTTTTGGCATGAATCTCATGGAACTAAAATCGGATACAGAAACTCCCGAACACCGCTTGACTTCCATCATCGCCTGTGTTTCGGTTCTGTACAATTTAAAAGTGCACTGTTTAGTGAAATCGTTCGTCTGGATGAGGGGAACAAGCTCCAGGGTAAGAACATTGACTATGTTCTGTAGTTTGTTCGTTTTCCAAACTACCGAACTAGACCGACCGTATGGAACTTTTTTGGGCATGGGACCATGCGTGTAGTCAGTCAAATAAATGACTTCCAGGAAATTCCTGAACCCCTGCACTGATCTGGGTGATTTTTGGATATGTTGGTCACCCAGATCAGGGCTATCAGGGTGTATGCATTGTTTTCCGCTGAATACAAATGCACTCACAGAATGAAGAAGAATATATCGCTCATAGGGTGCCTCCCCTAGTGGAATGGGGGGTTGGTAATCCCTTGGCTCCTTCTAGGCTTCCTTAATAATGCTCAGGACTCCAAGCAGGTAATGGTAGAAAAAAGATGTATTTATTGATAAAAGGTGAATATTCACCATCAATGTAAAGTATAAAAAGAAGAACGGTATGGTCCTACGCGTTTCGTTCTGTAAAGAACTTCATCAGGGACCGTATATAAGAAATAAAATCAATATACAATTACAGTATATAAAAAAAAACATGTATATTGATTTTATTTCTTATATACGGTCCCTGATGAAGTTCTTTACAGAACGAAACGCGTAGGACCATACCGTTCTTCTTTTTATACTTTACATTGATGGTGAATATTCACCTTTTATCAATAAATACATCTTTTTTCTACCATTACCTGCTTGGAGTCCTGAGCATTATTAAGGAATATTGCTTATGTTTATCTATGTTAAAAGGTCGTTTTTTCTGGGTAACGATCTTGGGAGGCTGTAATAATTAAGTTAAGTATCTGTATACATTTGACTACAGTTATTACCGTGAGTAGTGTGTATATTGTACTGTACTATCAGGGTGTAGGCTGTAACTTTGTGGGGGTTTTGTATATTTTACAGGTATTTTTGGGGTTTTAGAAAAATGTGTGTTTTGTGTCTGGAGATAATTGAGTTTAGTTCAGTGCTTGACTCCATTATCTCCCAGGTACAGAGGAGGGATTAATCTATTATGTGTGGGAGTATCCTGGATCTGAGAGCTAATGTAATCTTGTATTTGTTTCTACTGTGGTTTACTCTCAGGTCCAGGGGGGAGTGCCCTTTGCATGGGGACGTGCATAAAAGGCCAGTTGTGGCAACCATTAAACAAGTTCCTGCTTACCCTCAACACAGAGCCTCGTCATAGAGAAACCGCTGTATCTACCATGGGGATTGCTATATCACTATACTCCTCTGGGTTATAATCACTTGCTCTTGTAAGAGCAGCCTGCTACACTCTCTGGAGTAGGAGAGGTCTGCCCACTGGAAGTTGGATCCTGGTCGTGGGTCCAGGGTGGGTGGAGGACGTTGATGGTGTCTGGTGGAGTGCTTGGAAGTACTCAGAGGTACTAAGAGCAGTGATTGGCGGAGGCACCCGGTTGGGGTGCCAGAGGGTCCGCCACACAGTAGAAACTCAACTTTATTCTAACGTTATTCCAGCGCCCCTTTTAGTGGTTATTTTATTGTAAGACAAGGGTCACCATCTCAGTTTTATATTAAAACATATTTTTTTGTGGTATGACAAAATCTGTGATCCACCCTTCCGTAGAGTGCACACTCTTCAGTTGAATTGACAAAGCAGAAACTTTTCAAAGCAGTTCAGTATTTAGTTTTTTTGGGGGGGGGTAAATCTTTGTTTTACTGTGATGAGTGCAGAGAATAGAGCATATACAAAAAAAGTAAATGCTCAATACCCTCATTTTAAAAAGGATAAGATTAGAAAAATGTAGCCTGCTGATGATATATGACAAACTACGCAGCTGGAGAGAATAAAAAGGGCTGATACTGCAGAAATGCATAGAAGGCAATCTCTATACGCCCGGCAATACTATAAATTTTAGACATGCAAAATACAAAATTATTATATCCAGCTGATCACAAATTAAGAAAATAATAAGTGTAGGTGGGTTAAATACAAAGCAGCTGGTAAACTCTTTGTTTAGGTACACTAGTGGTCCCCAAATCAGTCCTCAAGATACTGCTACCAGTTCAGAATTACTCAGTTAAGTCTAAGGTTCTTTTTCTTAAAAAACCCCTAGACACAACTGGATCATCCCTAAATCCTGGACTGGTAGGGGTGCCTTGAGGACTGGGAACCACTGAGATACACAGCAAAATCGCCTAATAAGGAAAGTACTCATACGAATCAGTAAATTATTCCGTATGGCATAATAAATTAAACTAGATCATAAAAGCAAAAAAAGTATGTATAGCCTTAGCCCATGCTTCCCCGCTTGCTTCAAGCCACTGGGAGAATTGGTGTCAGTAAGGCCTGTTGAGCCTTTATATCAGTGGCGTCTTCCTCTGTGGCCTTCTCTTGACCCATAAGGGTTTGTATGTCTTCTCTGATAATCTTAAGCCTTGAATAAGCCTTGAAAGGAAAACTAATATCCTGGAGCAAAGACTTGATATTATGTTTGCTAGTCAGAGTATTGGTATTTTCATCATATGAATGTAGTACAAGCCACCCTTGCAGGAAATGGCATCCATCATATTGAGCAATGGTTTCTTTTAGGAGGAAGAATTCACTTCATGGGTGGCCATCTTGGAACCACTTTGCAGCTCACTGCTAAACAAGAAATAACCAATGTTGCATGAACTGCATTGGCAACTTTTTCTTGTGTCTTTTTTAGGGCTCGACCGATATTGATTTTTCAGAGCCGATACCGATACCGATATTCTGTGAACTTTCAGGCCGATAGCCGATATAATTTGCCGATATTCTGTACATTTACCATTTTGGAAAATAAAAACTATTTCTAAAGGTAAATACACAAAATATACATGCCACGTGTAGTGGATGCAGTGTGACAGGGGAGCTGTGTGTGTTTGTGTAGTGTGTGTGTAGTGGATGCAGTGTGTGTTTGTGTAGTGTGTGTGTTATGGATGCAGTGTGTGTTTGTGTAGTGTGTGTGGAGGATGCAATGTGTGTTTGTGTAGTGGATGCAGTGTGTATTTGTCTAGTGTGTGTAGTGGATGCAGTGTGTTAGTGTAGTGAGTATATAATGAAAGCAGAGTGTTTGTGTAGTGTGTGGGTAGTGTGCGTAAAGTGAATGCTGTATATACTAAATGCAAAGTGTGTGTGTATATAATGAATGCAGAGTGTGTGTGTATAGTGAATGTAGTGTGTTTATATAATGCAGAGTGTGTGTTTGTATAGTGTGTGTATATAATGCAGTGTGTTTGTGTAGTGTGCATTATATAAACACACTACACAAACACACTGCATTATATACACACACACTGCATTATATACACACACTACACAAACACTGCATTATATAAACACACTACACAAACACACACACTGCATTACATACACACACTACATAAACACACACCGAATTATATAAACACACTACACAAACACACTGCATTATATACCCACACTACACAAATACACACTGCATTATATACACACACTATACAAACACACTGCATTATATACCCACACTACACAAACACACACTGCATTATATACACACATTGTACAAACACACACTGCATTATATACACAGTGTGTTTGTGTAGTGTGTGTATATAATGCAGTGTGTGTTTGTGTAGTGTGGGTGTATAATGCAGTGTGTTTGTGTGCATTGTATACAAACACACACACACACACTATACAAACACACACTGCATTATATACACAGTGTGTTTGTGTAGTGTGTGTATATAATGCAGTGTGTGTTTGTGTAGTGTGGGTATATAATGCAGTGTGTTTGTGTGCATTGTATACAAACACACACACTGCATTATATACACAGTGTGTTTGTGTAGTGTGTGTATATAATGCAGTGTGTGTTTGTGTAGTGTGGGTATATAATGCAGTGTGTTTGTGTTTGTATAGTGTGTGTATATAATGCAGTGTGTTTGTATAGTGTGTGTGTGTATATAATGCAGTGTGTGTGTGTATATAATGCAGTGTGTGTATTTGTGTGCATTGTATACAAACACACACACACACACACTATACAAACACACACTGCATTATATACACAGTGTGTTTGTGTAGTGTATGTGTATATAATGCAGTGTGTGAGGGGGCATTTTTTATTAAATTATTTTAAAAAAAAAATTATATTTACTTTATTATTTATTTTTGTTGTCCCCCCCTCCCTGCTTGTTACCTGGCCAGGGAGGGGGGATATGACAGTCCCTGGTGGTCCAGTGGTATTGGCTGAGCTTTGGGGGGGCGGAGAGCAAGCGCTTACTCACCTCCCAGCAGCTCCTCCAGCTCCCCAGTGTTACGCGCGGAGCGTTGCCATGGTGATCCATGGCAACGCTCTGACGGCCGCGGGTCTCGCGAGAGTTGCACTGGGGAGCTGGAGGAGCTGCTGGGAGGTGAGTAAGCACTTGCTCTCCGCCCCCCCAGGACCGCCGGGCTTGTAATGAGCCTGGCGGTCCTAGGAGGTATTATCGGCAATATCGGTATCTGAATTGGCCGATACCGATATTGCCGAGAATACCGAATATCGGCCGATTATATCGGTAAAACCGATAATCGGTCGATCCCTAGTCTTTTTCTCCATGGCAATAAAAGTAAGAGAAGACTGTTTGTGGGTTTTGTAATGGCCAGAAAGCTTCTAAAATGTAGGTATAGTGCATTCTCACATGGAGCTCTCAAAATGCACCTAGTTATGCAGCCTGTAGCTTCATACCTCCCCAGCTCCGCATTATTAAGTACGTTTCTGTATAATGTATGTATTATAAGGGGGCGGCTGAAAAAGTGGGTGCTGGAGGCAGCCCCAGATTTATAAAAGGGTTTGACTAAATCCCAGAAAGGACAAATAAACTCCGATTTGGTTACTGTAAGGACACTGTAGATACTATAACCATTTCATCTCACTGAATTTGTTATAGTGCCTGGAGTCAACTGGTCCCGTCCCAAATCTTTTTAAAGCAGTTTAACACTAATTAGGTGTGCCTGATCGACCACAGCTCAGATCCTACTTGAGGTATGGCCAAGGTAGAGATTATACGTGACCAGCAATGGGCATTGTGATAGCCTGAGCGTAGTAAGCAGCCACTCTCCGTAAATAACAACTTCCCATTGCAGTACAGATCGGCTGCTCAGGACTTTCGCTTAGCATTAAAAACGCTTTAACTCTGAGTGGATGGATAATAACAGAGGACTTCAGACATTATAACCACTTCAATGAGGTGGAGCTGTTACAGTGCATACAGTGTACTTTTACGTTATTTGTAGAAATGTTATGTTATTAAAAAAAGCTTTTAACTACCATATTCGAGAATGTATATTTGCTTGCAGTACTCTTTATAGAATACGTGCTGACCATAATCAATGAGGGCTGATGACATTTTATTCTGTTTATTGCATGTCTTGTAAATTAAATATCTGTGCTGGTCCTGCAAAATTCGAGTAATTGAATTTCTCTATACTTCATCAAATTTTTATTGTTCATCAGTGTAATCCATTTCTTTTTCAAAGCTGGTTGTGAGATATGCATAGGTGTGTGATAAAACCAGATTAGTGTGTGATCTAGAGACATGATAAGAGAAGGAATTTGTAGGAGAGCGAGATTAGAAGAGATGATCAGGTTTTTTTAAAACGATGACTGTGGGGCTAATAGTTGAGGGATTTAGTTTAAAGCTCTTCTGTCCACCACCAAGTAATTAAAAACAAAAAATTACTTACCTTTAGTGCCCTGGTGCATTGGTCTCACAGTAGATGACATTCCTCCACTGCCGATGTCATCATTACCGCATTCGCGGCCATTGACATTTTCCTCGTGAAGATGTATTGACTCATTGCATCTCTTTGATGATCGTTCTATGTCTAAATGCAGAGTGTGAGGTCACTGAACGCCAACCCTCCCAAGCTTGCAGGACCACAACCACAAAGCACCTCTAGTAGCTGTCTGATTAACAGACACTAGAGATGGCATTAGGCATCAATGTAATCGTTGCCTTTTCTCAAAAAAGTCAGTCTTTACGGTCAGGGACATTCTTTTTGACCCAGAACCACTGCATTTAAGGGATTCTAAAGTGTTAGGAATACAAAGTTGTATTCCTAGCCAACCGATGTGACCACCTTAGTTTTTAGGCTGTTTCCCAGTACTTACCCTTTAAATAGATTAATTCTGGATCCAAAAAAATAAATAAAAGCCAATAAAATAATAGCCAATCCCTATGGTGAGAACTTGATTAAAAATTTAATGACCGATCAATAAAATCTGTAATTACAACTTTTCTACCTTATGTTTGCAATTTGGTATACAGTAAAATCAATGAAATCAGATTTGATATAAAATGAGACTGAGGAGAGCCTCATTTGTGCTGTCTATATTAGGCAGTTTACCGTGGTGAATCTTCTAGTCCCAGCCTCAATTATCTCACAGCTGGGTTTCATCACTGCTAAGAGAAAATAAATAAATAGCAGGGAAAAAAAGCGAGTCTGTTATTAGAGAAGAGGTGCTACACGCCATATCAGTTATGTGCCTTGGGATGGTGCAGTATGAATTTGTGCTGCGATTAAAAAGCTTTCATGTAATTGGCGATTTCATTGTTGCTCATCTTACAGAAATGAGTCGAACACCCTGTATGTTTCTAATGCTTACATTATAATTGTTTTGAAGGATTATAGAAATCCTCTATTTGATTCTCTTTACTTTGTTCTGCTCTTGTTTTCATTTTAAAGAGACATTACACTGCTTTGTGACAGCACCCTACTTTTGTGTATCGTAATATTACATATTTTGCAATATTATACATTTATGTTTATCAAAGTATGGGTGAAAATATCTCAGCCAATGCCCAAGCTCTTGTATCACAATGAGTTTAGCTGGAGTGAGTGCATATAATAAAATCCTTTTAAAATATTAAATAGGTTGCTGTTGAGCAATACACCCTTGACTCTGCATTTACATTAAAGGAACACTATAGGGCAAGCATGTCAAACTCAAAGGCTAACTCGGGCCAAGTAAACAAGGTTTAAGTTTATGCAGGCCACAAAAAAAAAAAAACTTCAGTTTTCATAGAAACGTAGGTTAATTTCAAAAAGTTGCCTAACTGATACTGGACGTCATCACGCTTGTAGGGCTTCAAAGTAAACAAAAGAGCGAATTGATTTTAACCCCTTAGTGACTGCCAAAAAACGGTTGTTAACGACTGCTGACGTACCCTGTACGTCCACGGCCAAATGAGCCCTGGAAGCGATCGTGAGCGTTTCCAGCCGCTCTAACCAGTGGCGTACACACGACCCATGGGGCCCTGGTGCGAAAATTGATTCAGACTCACTAACACACACACCACAAACTAACGCACTCAGTAACAGACACACATAGTAACACACTCACTGACACACAAACTAACGCACACTCAATAACACACACAAAAACTAACACACTCACTGACACTCACTAGCAGACACACACACAGTAACACACACTGACACAAAAACTAACACACACACACACTCTAACACTCAAACACACATGTTTCTTTAAAATTTAATCCCCCAGCCTCTTTACCTTTGGGAGAGCCGAGGGGATTCCCTGGGGTTCAGTGGTGCTGCTAGGCGGCTGGTCACCGAGCGGGCTGGCAGGCCCGCACTCTCCCCTGAGCGCTCCCTCGGCTGCCGGCTCCCTCGGCTGGCCACACTGGCGGGTCACGTGGCACCCGACTGTGACCCTTCAGGGAGGCTTCCGATGCTCTGCCTGTACTGATTGCCTCGAGGGGTCGAGGCACTCAGTAAATGTTTAAAAAAATAAATACAAATTAAATAAAGAAAATTAGCACCCTACCCTCCCTCCCTTCCCATGTACTTACTGCTCGCCGCCGTTCCCCTGCCGGCGATCAGTCTTCTTCTAAGGGGGACTGTCTGGGATAATTCTATTGCCTTCATTCACAAGAATGTTCATAAACCACCAGGTCACCCTATTATTTCGAGCAATGGTTCTTTGACTCAGAATTGTTTTGTCTTTACCAACAAAACACCTCAAGTCCTTACCAATCCACCATATATTCAAAATACAGCCAGTGCGATCAAAGAGTTCTCACAAATTACATGCACCTCTACATCCTGTCTAGCTAGTATGAATGTGGTGACCCTCTTCATTAATATAACAACCATGTCTGAATTACATAAAATTCTTCCTACGACAAGCTAAACAATACTCACCTGAACTTTGTGAATTTGTTCTTTTACTCTTGTAATTTGTATTAGGATATCATTATTTTCTGTTGAAAACTATGGGAACATGCTGTGCTTGTAGTTCTGCTAATCGTTTCTTGTCTTTGAGGGATATTCTCTCTCTTTACTGTTCCCCACATTTTTTTACTCTGGGACAATAACCAACAAACTTTTCTTGACTGTGTTGAACAACTTAACCAGATCACATTGGTCAAAAACTGATCAGTGTTATTGATGCCAAGGAACTTATATATGGATCTAGTAATAACATTGGTGAAAGTCTTACGCTCTCAACCAAGCTGTTCCGCAAAAAACTGCTATAAACATTTTTTAAACGGGGTTAGTTTTCATCCTCATCCCTTAACAAGTAGTATCCCATACAGCCAGTAGTTAAGAGCAATAAGGAACTGTACAAATGTTTACATACAGGAGGCTAACAACTCGAGAACTATGTTTATCCTGAAAGGACCTCCTAAAAGACTCTTAAAAGGGGCATTTAATAGAGTTCAGCAAGTACAAAACTTGATGTCCTCTTAGGCTTTAAGATCTACTGATGAAGATAATCAGGTACGCTTTATCGCCACTTTTGACACAAGTATTGGCCTATTTTGTCGTCTGATCTCCTTATCGGAAATTGTATCACTAATCTGTCGGATA